CCAACCATACACTTTTGTGCACTGCTGTAAAACAATATTCAATTATCACTCTAACATTCTGAAATTATTTTTATATCTTTCAGAATTGATTGAATTTATATGAAAATTCAGCAGAGAACCAAAAATCCAAAATAATTTCACTATATGAATAAGATATTAGCCGCTGTTTTTACATATCCAACAGATACCTACAGTGAATTGAGTGAACGTAAGCCCTGGAAAGCATCTGGAGCTGCTTCAGAAATCTGGTTATTGCTCAGGTCACTGAAATAAATGAAATTTGATTCAATTAATTCAAGCTATTTTCAAAATAGCAAACATTAAAATATATGTAATTACAATTAGGCATAGAAGGGAGAGAAAAATTTAAATATTTATGTGAGACACTGCCAAAGAATTTTAATATAAAACCACGAAAATTGCCAATACAATGAAACAAAATGCATGGTTAGAAACAGGCCTTTCAAATGCTTGAAAAAAATTACAAAGAGATTTACTCTTCCTAATTGGTTAAGTACATTTTATAAAGAATTCTCTGTTTGTTACGGCCACAGGACTATATACCCTCAAAAGTATTCTGAAATAACACTGTCTTATCCCTACTAATTACTTTTTTAATACAATATTCACTACAGTAGCATATTGCTTCTAATGAAAACCATATTAAGCAATTTCAATATTTGTTAAAAAATGTATATTTTTAATGTGACAAAGATGCTATATGGCTGTCTTATAATGTCATAATCAGGCTGCCATATCAGCTAATCCTCCAGCAGCCAAACTTTGCATACATTGACTGCAGTTCCTTTGCATGACCTTGACTTGGGTTTTTTTTTATATTTTTTTATATCTATGTATGCCTGTGTGTATATATTTATATATGAAAATAAACAATGAAATCTAAATTATTTGGTACGTACATTCTTCGAAGCTTTTTATATGGTGAGAAAGCTCCAGGAGGTATGACCTTGATTGAATTTTGTTCTAATCGTCTGCAAAAAACCAGCAGCAACATAAAAATACAAACCCCATGTCAAACAGCAATTCAAAGCTAATAGACTTTAACAAAGAAGCTTTTGCTTTCTTCTTCAGTATAATTTTTATCTTAGAAACAAGGTAATTTCATTTCATGTTTCATTTCAAAAAGATCAGATTTTGTCCGTAAAACCAAACTTTTTAATCTATAGAGTGTAAAGTGATTAACTTAAGATTAAGCGAGTTAATAATTCAAATACTCAAACCATAAGAAAAGGGAGAGAAATGTTCCTATAGAACAAATAACATATGTTGTGACCTGCAGTAAGACAAATGCCGTATTTTAAAACAAGCACATATGATTCCTTTAGATACAGTACGTAACACATTTTCTTTAAGATATAATAAAAGGATTCCACAGCCACACTTCTAACTTCTTTGAACAAGTATTTTTAACTAAAATTGTAGTTTATGCTACTGGCCACGTCTGTTCTGTACGTATAGTGACTGTGACTGAAACTTGCCATATTGTGAAGTGTAAATTTGCTGATGGAAACAGTTTTCCAAGAATATTTTGAACTTCCAGAGCTTTGCGTATGGGAAATCCATGCTGATACAGACCTATGGCCCACTTGCCAACAAGTCAAAACAGATTCAGCAACAAGCACATTTAAAATAGAAGCTACTTCTTCACACGCCACAGCATTTCATGGTTATTGCAGTGCAAAAATTTCTGTTATGAAGACATAAGAAATGAAACTATTTCTACTAAAAGATACAACAGGATAAGGCAGTATTATTCAAATCTACATACCATGCTTATCTAATAAGCTTTCTATTTCCCTCTCACGCACAGGTTATCAGCTCTTAGTGTGATGTAAGCACATAAAGACAATTCCAAATATCTATTTCATATAAGGAATCAAAATGTTGTAGAATTTACGGCACTATTTTATATCACTCAAACATCAATTCAGAATCTAAGGTCAAAAAGCCTTTTTAAATCTAGATGCAGGAATATTTTTTCCTTTTACCCTTGTTCTATTAACTCTCTTCTGTTTCACTTTTCGTCTGATAGAGAGACATGAGTCTCTGTGTGCAGTGTAACTAGTAAGTTCATATATTCACTTCAAGTAAGCCTTTCCAAGAAACTATTATTACAATAATTATTTATTTTTGTAAAGTTTCTCCAGAGATCACAGTATGGCTGAACTAAAGAAAGATTCTTTTACTGCTTTCATGAAGTTTTGTTTAGATGGAGATATTTATACATTTAATACTCAAAATCTCTTCAGTCTGTCCATACTTTACTGGCGCAGAATTTGTTCTTGAATGGCTTATGAAAAAGCCAAAAATGCCTCAAAAAAGGCTTCTTGACACACAGAAAATCTCACTTCATCAGAACTGTTTTAGACAACTAGGAAAATTTTGCCACCTTGCTATAGTTTTCAGGTATATTTTAAACACTGCAGAGAATCCCATGGCACAAGACTGTGAAATCTTTGCATAAACACAATATTTCAGATGCTTTCCTTGTCTTGGCTGAGCCTTTTGTACCCATGAAATATATTTTGCATTGGACCAGGAATACTGACTAGGCTATAAAGGAACAAGGTCACTCTTCAGTACACTTGAGTAGATGCAAGAAGCCAACATGTGAATAAGTAAAAATTTGCTTAAGTTAAAGGTCAACATCAAGTTAGACCAAACCCAAGTACTTTTTGTTCTTACACTGCATTTTCAGCTTAGTTTCCCCTGCAAATAAAGACTATACATGCTTATTCATCTCGATGGTTTTCTACTCAGCTGGATAGGCCAAAGAGAGGTAAAACCTTCAGATAGTAAATTTCTTAAAATTTCCTTATTTTAGCAATGGGAAGGAGTTGAGAAACCAAAGTAATCCATCCATGAAGGGAATGGCAGCCATCCATCCATTCCTGTTACACACTCTATTTGGCAGCAACCAACTGCCTAACCACCAGGGATAGCCTGACCAGACATTTATCAGATGTGTAACTTTGAAACCCAGCCAAAGAATATCTTGCACAGCAAAACACATAGGGCATATGCAGAGGACTGGAAAGGGGAGGGAGCAGTAAAAAGGACAGGGAAGGATTAGGCCACACTACAGAGGACTTGAATTGCTGGAGAGAGAGACACTGGGGTAAAAAATGCCTCTGTGTATATAGGAAAGATGTTGCAGTGGCAATGCTCCCACACGAGGCTGTCACAAGCCTCATTTCTAAATGCTGCTTCTTAGCCCATGGTGTAGAGATTTGTAACCCAGTGCTGGAGGGGCTCCACCTATGTCCACCTATCTTTAAACATATATATCTCTTAACTAGACATGACATGACATGTACCTTGAGAAAGACACAGTCTAGTGTTAAACTAAGATTCCAAGTATTTTCCAGTTTACTCTTTTAATTTAAAAATATAAACTGAAGTACCTTACAGGATACATGTGTGCCACTTTTTATGATAAAATGGAATAGCAGATTTAACTTACAGCTGTCCAATTTGTCTAAAAATTACATGGGTCCAAAACCTAAAGAAGTCCTATTACAGTACATTTCTGAAAGCTAATTTTCTAGCAGTTCTAATAGAGAGAACTACCAATTCACTAGTGGATATGTAAAATGAACTCCATGTCAACTCTGCTTAACATTTCCTTTTAGTGAGAAATTTATACTCTAATAGACAGATTGTGCAGTGCTGGGATAAATTTACAAGCTCTTCTGGATAAAGGATTTGTTATAGTAGGATCATCTAAGTATGTCTTTTCTTAACTCATGCCAATATGTACGCACTAAAATACATCACATTCTAGAAAATGAGATTAGTATAAGAAAGGAAAAATAAGATATAAATACAGAGGAAAAATCTTTTATACTCAACTTTGTCTGTAAAGAAAGTAAATAAAATTCACATTTTCAAGCTTTTTTATCCTCTAAACTTCTGCTTTATCTTCCTAGAATCAACTGAATTTCACAGAGTGAAAATCTGCATCCACTATTCCAGAGAAAATCTAATTAGGTATATTCCAGGGTCAAAATGCACAGACTAATATCCAAAGGAAATTTGCATTCTACTGATAAAACCCATAGTAATTAAAACCTCCTTTATATTAATTCCTCTTGTTAAATGAAACATTTTTAATTCTGGAATAGGATAGGTTGTAGTTATCTATTACTGAAAAATTCAGATATTAAATGCTCACAAATGACATGGTCAGAAGTACCATTATAATATAGAACAAAATGCTAATATTAGTATTTTTCCATGGAAGTTGTATTAAATTTTGTGCACAACATCTCCTTTCAAAGTCATCCCAGAAGTCATTCTGTATTATAAATTATCATCTGTGTATCATAAACAGTGCCTTGGTGGTTTCTTTTTCAAAAGCCACAGACAATTTTAGTAGCATATTTAATAAGATAAGATAATGGAGGAAGACAGTTAAGTACATGCTTCATCAAAGCCTGTACTGCCTCATGTATAAGAAGTACTCTGCCCAGCACCACACAAACACTAATTAAGGCTCTTAGTATTAAGTCTCCTGATCCTTTTAGCATTTCACTTCAAAGAAGTCCTGCATCAATACATAAGTGTTTTACTGTCTTTTAACACTGCCAAACTGGTTGAAACCTTATTTAAAGACTATTCCCTAATCTCTCCTATCTAGGAAATGTACTGTGAACATTTCTTTTTCTAAATCTTTCGCCCCTGCTTATCACTGCAGACACCATAATGTACAACCACCTACTATTCTAAGAAACAAAGGTGCTTCTGCAGTTGTGACTTCCAACCTAATAAAATCAAATCAAAGTAGGTCCCCAGCCAGTAGACAGATTCTTCCCACCGGGTCTCCAGAGAGCCCTGTGACATGTAAATCACTTGACACTTTCCAGGAGGATGCTGCTCTCTGCTAGAAGCCTGCAGCACACCATTACTGATTACTACTTCCGCACTTACAGAGACAGACAACGTGCTTATTTATACTGACACTTTAAACTAGCTTATTTTCCCACTATAAAAAGTAATTTCTATGGAAGACTTTTGTAGCAGGAAAGAGGGCAGACTGGGAATGAAGAACACCTTGTTCTCTACAGAACAATTTTTATTTTAAATCATGCAGATGGGGTACAATATACTAAGCCTGCTCAGTAGAGAAAGGTAAAAAATAGTGCACAGAGATGTGCTGCACCTAAATGCATTAAATATAATAATGATAATAACAACAACAACAACAACAACATCATCTTCCTTAAGAAAACACAAATTTGAATATGGAGCAGCAAATTAGTTGCATATTTAATAATTAAACAATCAGAACATACCATCTCAATTAAATAAATTTGGTCAATAGTAGCTTTTAGCAGTTAATTAATCTATACTTTTAATTCCAGCATCTACTCACTTACAAAAGGTAAGGAGCTTGTCAAGAAACCCCAAAAGAATTTTTACTACAGAGAAGAAAGTGTAAGCTATGCAATGAGTCTGATGTATTGCACAGATGCTGATTATACATGGTAATAAAATTGACAGCTCTTCTTTGCATTTTCCCCATCTGCTTTTAAAGTAAATGGCAAAAACAGCTGTCAGAAAACAGAAAATAGATTTCAGAGATGAGATTCAGTGCAGCTCCTGAATCTGAAGAACTGCAATACACAGCCAACACATCTCTCATCCTATGCAACATCTGTCAGGTTTTGGGTTTTTTTGTTTGTTTGTTTTTAAAATAAAGAAACAGTAATGGTCTCCCTTTGCTACAGGAATGCTCCAGTACCTTTTTTCTTTCTCAACGGCTGCACTTCCAGAGCGCTTATATCCACTGAATGTCACTTCTAACTTAAGCAGCAAAAGAATTCTGTTGAAATCTGTGATATCATCCATGTCTAACAAAACAAAAGATGTCTTTTGAATGACTATATTACTTGCACTTTAGAATTTCAGGCTCTAATTCTGTGTATTAATAAATCTGGTTGACAGTTTCCTAAATATTTGCATATAAAGA